AGGTCACCATACCATAGTAGCTGACTAGTGTCGAAGCATCAATGCCATGGCGTCTGGGAATAAGACGAGACGCAAACGCCAAACACCCAAACATGACATCCATACAGCCGAATCCCCTCCCTCGGCAGCACCCATTCCACCAACAGCTCAGCAAGCTCCCTGTCTCTCTCTCTCTCTCTGCTTCTCCTCTCGCCGGCTTCCCCCAACGGATGACACCACCCAGCCTGCGAAACACGCAAAGAAAGGGACCCCCCCCCAGTGACCCCTACAACTTGAGTTTCCATTAGCTAACGGCGAGCGAATCACAGGCCGGCCGAAGTCACGGCCGCACCCTTTCGGTGCCGGTGCCGTGCCGCCTGACTGACGCTCCTAAGCCCCTTTGAGTTTCTGTTTGTCACCCATGACGACTTTTCTGTCACGACGAGCATTCGCCATAGTGCCGTCTTTTCCTGGTCTACCAATCTCCGCGGACCCCAATAGGTGTTTAAAGAAATCATCTTCTCCCTCCTGACACAGGAATTGACGTTTGGGCCATTCGTTATCTCGCGGTTGTGAACCATGGCGTTACCATAGTGCCACCCCCAAAGATCATATCATCCATCACATCAGCCCTACCTGTCCGCTGGCCGGTACCTGCCTCTTGTTGCCCCGCTGAGACCGGCCGATCGGGTCTTCCGCCCCTCCTCCACATTTACCCCGGATTTCATCGCCGGCCTCTGTTCAAGGCCTCGCTCCTCTGCCGGGTGCCCCTCTGACCAGAGCTACCATGACCCGAATACAGCCCTCACAATGGAACTTTGACATTGATCGGTTCATCAACCCCTTTGTCCCCCATCCCCCCTGGCGCCACCTGCCGACGCCCGTGTCCCGCTTCTTCGGCTACCGCAAGACGAAGCCCGACAACACGGGCAACTTTGTCCTCATCCTCTGGGCCTTTATCGGCATCTTCTGCGGCATCGCCGTCATCGAGCTCGTGTCCGACCACGTGCCCTCCTTCCGCCACCATGGCGCCCCCATCATCGTCGGCAGCTTCGGCGCCGCCGCCGTGCTCGAGTTCTACTCGATCGAGAGCCCCCTCGCCCAGCCCCGCAACGCCATCCTCGGCCAGCTCCTCGCCTCGCTGACCGGATCTCCATCGCCAGGCTCTTTCTCCTCGCCGGCCCCGCCCCGTTCGCCGACGTGCGCTGGGTCGCCGGCGCCCTGTCGTGCGCCACGGCCACGGCCCTCATGGCCCTCACCAAGACGGTCCACCCGCCCGCCGGCGCCACCGCCCTGCTCGCCGTCGTCGACGACAGCGTCCTCGACCTCGGCTGGTTCCTCGTCCCCGTCGTCATGCTCGGCTGCGCCCTCATGCTCGTCACCGCCCTGCTCGTCAACAATGTCCAGCGCCGCTTCCCCATGTACTGGTGGACCCCCGAGGACCTGCACGCCCAGGTCCGCCCCTGGACGCGTCGCCGCGCCTCGGGGCCGCCGCCGCCGCCGCCCTCTTCGTCGGCGGCTGCTGCTGCTGCCGTCGAGGCCAAGGCCGGCGTCCCCGACCACAGCGACCTCGAAGCCCAGAGCACGCGCACGTCGCAGACGACCGAGGTCGGCGGCAGCGATGACGGGCGCGAGTTTGAGCTCGTATTGCGTGCTGGCGAGGTCATCGTTCCGGAGCACATGTACATTACGCCCGAGGAGAAGATGTGGCTCGAAAACCTGAGCAATCGGTTGTGATGACTCGTCCTGGTAGGGGCGTGGCGCGTGGAATTAGGTGCATGGGAATGGGGCGTTTTATTGGTATGGGCAAAAAGAAAACCTCGAGCATTCAACGATATTTATGACTTCTATTTATATACCCTGCATTCACGCCCTTTGTATTTACCATCTTATGAAAAGTCAGAAAGCAAAATTCACAAAACTCCACCAAAGAATGTCTACCACATGTCTTGCGACGTGCTCACTCTCGTTCGCCTCATACCTCTCGTGACTCGTGGGAACCCTCATCAAAACCATCACATCATTCATTAAGAGGTCCCCTCCTCCCTTCATCATGCATTGGACGACATGCATCGTACTCATCCGTCGGCTCACACCTTGGCCGCATTCGTCAGGCTGCGCGAAAAGGCCACCTCGGCGCGCTTCTCGGGGTTCTTGGTCGGGTCATTGGTCGGGTCGCCGTCGGCGCCGGGGCTGACCATTTCGTACTCGAGCATCTTGATAAACTTGTAGAACACGACGGCGATCAGAGATCCAATCAGCGGTCCCACCCCTTTGGCTCACGTTAGCATCTGCTCTCCGTTTCGTACAACCTTTGGTTTCTTTCGAGACACCACTCACAGTAAATCCAGTGCTCCTTGTCAAACGTCGCCGTGACGACGCAGGGCCCAAAGCTGCGCGCCGGGTTGAGCGAGCCGCCCGTAAACTGCACGCCCACGAGCTCGGCGATGAACAGCGCCAGGCCGATGCCGACGGGTGCGATAAAGGTGGCGCGGTGCTTCTCCTTGGCGAGCATGAAGATGGTGAAGACGAGCTCGGCCGTGAGGATGGCCTCGATGAAGACGCCCTGCACGAGCGAGGCGCCGCCGCCGAGCGTCGTCCGGACGTTGAAGTTCTCGGGAAACAGGTAGCGGACCATGACGGACGAGATGAGGCCACCCAGCATCTGCGCCACGAAGAGGCACGCCGCGCGGACGGGCGTGATGGCGCGCACGAGCAGCATGGCCAGCGTCACGGCCGGGTTGAACAGGCCCGCCGCTGATGCGGAAGAAAGATCCACACGTTGACCATGAGGGAGAAGCCGAACGCCACCGAAATGTACATGAGCACGCCGACGTCAAAGCCCGTCGTCTCGCCCGTCGTCGTGTTGCTGTCGCTGCCGCCCGAGTCGGTGACGTTGGACTGAATATTGGCCACCTCGGTACCGGCGAAGGCGAAGAAGAGGAACATGGTCGTCCCGACAAACTCGCCCATCGAGGCCACAAAGTGGTTCTTGACCTCGCTGTTCATCCACTGCGTCCAGGGCAGACGCATCACCTCGGCGCGCTCGTCCCGCGTCAGGCTGCTCCAGTCGATGCGCCGCGCGCTGTCGTTGGTGGCGACATATCTCGGTGCGAAGCCACCCATCTCCTCATCGTTGCGGCGGCGCGAACGACCGGCGGGCGGGCCTCGAGGAATGAGCCTTCGTGTCCTTCGTCTACATATGGTGCCTCACCCTCTCATTTGCGCTCGTAGTTGAAAGGGCTGGTAGATGGGCGCAAGCGGCGAGCTCGGACTGCTACGGCTGTGCTGGCCCTGCCAGGTGCAGGCCGTAGAGATCCTGAAGTCAGGTGACGCGGGCTCATACTGGTCCCAGTACTGGTCGCTATACTCTCGTCGTCTCGTAACGGACGCCGCCAGGGCGCGTTGTGACTGATTGATGGGCTCTTCAGAAAGAGGCACGGCGGAACCGCGGCGCCAGGTGTGTTGGGGCCGCGCCTCGAAGAAGACACTTCCGTTGCTGCGCATCGTACGCGGCGGAGATGAGGGTTGCGGGACGGCTCTGCGTCAGAATACACATTGGACTCCAACACAGCAGGCGCATCCGGCGGAGGATAGTGTTGCGCTGTGCCGGGAACTGGGATCGGATTCTGGTCCGCCATGATGTATTTCGAGTTGGGTGTAAGATGAAGAAGAAGAGATGGAGGGGGATCCGTGTTGAAAGACAAAGGGATTGAGGAGAGATCCGCCAGGAAGGCCAGCGAAGATCACCTCGATTTTCAGGTACAACTTCCACGTTTGGTGTTCTTCACCCACGGTGCTGATATAGGAGTAGAATTATCAGCGAGGAATGCATTGCTGGGCTCAAAGGCTGTATTATATCCCCTCCCCTCCGGGCCTACATCTGAAAGCCTCCTGGCCCTTGCCTCAGCCCCCTTTTAGTAGCGACCAGCGTCGACCAACAGTTCGAGTTCGTTCGGCCTTGGTTCTCTCTCACCACCCCAGCCACTGACATGATTTTTGACAGGGACAAGCATTGTCTCGTAGACATCTGGACTCGACAGGTTCGACAGGGAAGCGCTGTCGTCCGAAACAAACTGTGCGTGCAGCAGGCACGCGGTGAAAGATTGGTGGATACGAATGGCTGGATAGAGCATATAAAATCTTGAGATATTCTCGGAGAGCCGCGGTGTCCCTGTTGTAGATCTCATGCACGTCAGTGTTGTCCCCGGGAGGGGCTTGTTAGCTTGGCCGTGTCCCCGGGCTTTCCGGCAATGAGGGGCTGTTCAGATGACGTCGGGGTCGAAAGGTTTGGTGGTGAGGATCCGAAAGCGTGGGGTTAAATAAATGAAACATGCACCAGCTGAGACAAGGTCAGATGCTGAGGCCACGAGAAGGCTGGTGGTTCTGGCGTGGAAACAGGTTATAGGAACAGAGATCCGCCCAGGATGATCGTGGTTGAGGCTGAGAAGAGCCACCCGCTAGCGCGCCACGTTTGACACGTCTACCCTGGCCATGCACCTCAGGTCGGGGGGCAGGTTCCAAATGGTATCCCAAATCGAAAATCCTGAAGGAGGCGCTGAGAGGGGTAGTATGCTCGCTCTGTCTACCATGGCCGCCTGATCGAGGTTTGGTACACGTATAAAGTTGACCGAGATGAGACGAGGCCGAGCACGGTATCTATCGCATGACAGGCGCGATCATGTTACTCGATGCGCCAGCATAACTGATTACCGCACGGCCACCCGCTAGCTTCAGGGTTTCAAGGGTCCTCCTGTTCCCGCTTAGGCGGTGATCTGGGAAGATTACCAGATCAAGATATGATCTTCTCTTCTCTTACACACGCCCTTCAATCAGGTTGACTCAAATGCGGTAGAGGTTGCAATTCGAGTCAAGCAGGTCCAATGGGCCTGATTGATTTCATGCCTCAGCAGTGTGCCGTTGAGTATGCTTCCTTGTCTAAGAAGGTTCTATGACGCAATACCTAGTGTTCATGGTCCCAACGAGAACTCAGACAGCGGTAGATTTCAAGCCTCTTCTGCACGAAAAATGCCGAGCGTCGAGAACATGGATGGGAGTGAAACGGAATTGAGGCAATTGTTTGTGAGTTGCCATTTTGTCGCAAGACCACTTGCGCCCTCGTAACCGACGCGGGGTTGGGTAAACTCTGAGTGCATGGTGGATATGCCCCGATGAAATGATGAAGACTCTGCTGCAGAGGCGGCTGGTAGGAGATGTTCTTGGCCTGTATTGAGAAAAGCCTTGTAGAGAATGGCTGGGGGATCCCACGAGCGAGGAGTGGTAAAGGCCTGGCCAGAGAGGTGTAGCAAGGTCATCCTTGGTTTACTCACATAGCCCGATCGCCGCGATGCCTTACGATCACTTGACCCTTGCGGTGGCATCGCAACAGTGCAGCCGCCAGGCAGTCTGGGCCGCAGCCATCCTCAGCCTCTGCTGATAACCAATTGTTGGCCCCCGGAGCTATCCTCCTGGGGAGGGGAAAGCTGATGTGTGTATGCACGCCTGGTCAAGGACGCCATGAAAAACGTTCGGATCCGGACAAAAAGAAACGAGGAGAACAATAATAACAACAGGAACAGCACGAGGGTTCCTTCTTCCATTGCCAAAGTGTAGGCTGAGGCTGATTGAGAATGGTCTTACAATCGGATGACATGTCAGTCACCTTACCTAGCAGTCAAAGCGATGTCTAGGCACTACCAGCTCGTGGGGTTGACGTTGAAGTGAGCTTTGACACCCAATGTCTCGGAAGGCGATGACGAGAGAACATCGCAAACTCCAGGACCTGTGGATCCGATGGCCAACACTGCAGCCTCATCCAAGAAAAGCACCTCTTGACACTGGTTGCTGTACTTGCAAACCGATAGTAGACTCGAGATACGGCCTATGCCGCTTACACATGGCACCCACTAAACCAGTCTCACCAATTCGCGTCTTAGGGAGCCTCTAGATTGCGCCCAAAAGAAAAATAGGGATTCCTGGGTCGTAGCGTTTGAGCATGTAGCAAAGAGTAGCATGGACGGTTGCGACAAGATGGGTTTCGTGAGATGGACCGTGATGGGGACGGCGGTTCGATGAATGAAGCTGCATGAATTTCCGTATCCGCTGGGATCCGTCACGTTCGTCAGGCTGCACCAATCGGGCCACTTCGCTGGTGCCTGACCAATACCCATACCGCACGGGCAAGCGACTGGTGTAAAAACGTGCACTTTGGCTCAGGGGGTGTCTTCCTCGAAAAAACGGTTAGCATCCGTCTAGCAAACAGGGTAAATGAATGGTGGCTAGCGAATTCATGCCGTCTGTAAATGGCTTCAAGCAGACATCTGTATTCGTCCGTCCGCGTCCGCGCCGTTCAATCATCGGGAAATGACCACAGGAACAAGCGCCAGTTGCTGACCACCTCCATCTTTCCATCTAGATTGCCGCGCGATGTCGGCAATCTCGCACGTCGAAGTGAGAGCAGAAAAGAGTCCCAATCAAGGTGGCCTCGGTTGGCTACCCGAGCTGATGTCAGCACCCCCTTTTCACAGCCTCAAGGCCAGGGTGATCTGGACGAAGGTCGATTCGGAGGTGGTCGCACAGCAGTGCGGACACAACCTCCTGGCAATGAGGAGTGCAGGAGTCGGCATGCTGTCTGTCGTCCCAAGAGGCGGTGTGTGACGCAACACAGATCGAATGAGGCTGCACGACAACTGTCAATTGACTGATCAGGGTCTGAACTAGGTGCAGGGCCTAATGCATGTGCATATCCGGGGCACAGCTTTGAGAGAAAGAAAAAAGATCAGGTGTCTGTCTGCCTGGTTGGGAATGTCCTGCCTGAGGTTCGAAATGTTGGGAACGATCGATGGAAGGAAGGAAGTCGCGTGCCAGATTGAGGCAAGGTCCAGTCACTCCTTGACGCCTGCCTTCACATAACCTCGCTCCTCCTCCACTCCACTCGCGCGGAGAAACGAACGATTTGCACTGATGAGGGAGCGCTTGTCAGCGTTGAACCACCACTAGTGAACGTGCGCCAGCGTGCGGACGCCCCTGGAAGATCTCCACCGAAATAGGCCTCCCCAGCTTGCTGACTCTACGGAACACCGATTCCAATGTCCAGTCGAAGGGATCACTAGTCACTAGCGGTCACTAGAAAGCTTCGCCACGACGTGAATGGAGCCCCGTTTTCCACATTTAACCTCACCCGCGGGCCAGACGCTTCGGATTCCCACTATTCATGACAAGCTTTTCCACAGAACGACGATCTCGGTCATCTCCACGTCCGCCATGGTCTCTAAGATTCCTACTGAACGCTCCAGTAGGACACCCATCGATCAGCGAAGCTGGAAGCTGGAAGCTGGAAGCTGGAAGCTGGATAATTTGCGGGAATGCAAGCGTCCCTGGCAAAATGGATCTTCACTCCCCTGCCTTGCTGACCGAGATGTCTTGGCATGGAGCACTCGAATTGGCCAACAGCATGGCGGCCCAGAACGCACCTTGCTGGATGTTTACTCGATACAACAGCACCTGTGTTCCCCCCTGAATCGTAACACGCCCACTGTGACCCTCAAACAGGGCAGCACAGCCGCCCTGCCTGCCAGTCTTCCAAGGTGCCAGGCTCTTTTTTTAGTGGACGTGCAAGCGAACTGAGCGTGGAACAGGTTCCTCGGGCGCCTCCCGCTTCCAAGACAAGTCTCCTGGCTCCACGTGTTGTCCTCCCTTTCCATTCAGGCCTGGCTCAGGCAAGCCACCAATGCCACGCTCAAGTACGTCGTTGACGCAGGCGCGTCCCGCGTGAGAATGTCGACAATGGTAACCCCTGTTTCACCACAACCACCATCACCAATAGCCCGACGCTCGCACGCTCGCCCTTCCATTGCTTGGCGGCCGTTCACAAGCAGCAGAATCGGGGGGGTTAGGGGAAGCCAAAGCGGCCAGGCACACGCTCAAAGCCAGCTTTC